TCCCACGAGAAGGAGCATGGTTGCGCAACGAGAGCTTGTTTTACAAAAGCCTGCGACCGCGCTCTTACGAATATTCCAGAAAACCAGAATTCCATTCAACATGTTCATGACCTGAAACCAACGGGACCTCTCGCGAGCGCACGTCGAAACCTTTCGATCGCCGTTGCGCGCGTGTTGTCGCAAGAACCCCTTGCAGCAGCTAGGACGAAGTGCACACGCGCACGTCGTCGCGCGCGCATGCCAAAATCCTTCAACAGTCTTGCGGTCCGTACGGGATTCAAAAATGAGCTTCCCGAACGCATCAGAACACATGGTTTGGCAACACCAGTCTTACAACAAATCGTGCGCTCGCGATCTTGCGGGTTGTTATGAAAACCGCTGGTTGTTCAACGTTTCCACAAAATTTTGCCTTGCGGGCCTCTCGCGCCGCATGCCGAACCCATTCGGATGCCCTTGCGCGCGTGCATGGGGGGCGGGCGCGATCCGTGTCAAATAACACCGCGCGGGCAACTCGCCCGCGTCGTCCGCGCGCGCATGTCGATCTCCTTCCAAAACCTTCATCGCCGACGCGAGGACGCCGTCATCGTAATCGGCGGGCGTGATCAACATCGGCGCCGTCATTGGCCTGGCCGTCGTCATCGTCACCATAGTCACCATCACCGCTACTCGCATAATCGTGTCTACCGTTGTCGGAATCGCCATGATACCGCGCCCGCCCAAAACACCGACTAGCACTGAAGTGCCCTTTGGGACGTGCCCAGCGGTCAGCGCTACCGCGGCCGCGTCGGCTGCGCCAAACTAGCTGGCTGGCCGCTGTGCGCGCGAGCGTGCAGGGCCTAGCGCGGCCGCAAAGATGCGCCAGCCATCGCCAAGCACTCATCGCAATCGCCGCCGCATGGGTTTTGCAAACCAAATTGCGGGCAGGTGGGTGGGATGTTTGCCAGGGCGTGGGATTTGTCAAATCGTTTGTAAGCATCAAGTTTCTTTTCTAAAAAGAGAATAGACTCTACCCCCCCATTCCGGCGTTATCGCCCACCCTTCCGGGTATGTAAATCACAGATGATTCTGACCACATGTCCATCTGAAATATGAAATCAGAATGTCCTACGCCAACCGGTTTCCCCCCTGAGGTTCCCTTGCAAAAAAATGTGCGAAGTGCACACGCGCGCGTCGTCGCGCGCGCGTGCCGAAATCCTTCAAAAACCTTCAGTGCCGGAGCGATTTCGCAATCGATTTCCAAATAAACATACAAAACCATTGGGTGTCGTAACACTGATCTGCTAAAAAAGCTTACGCTTGAGCTCTTGCGAAATCTTAAGAAAACCATAGGCTTTTCAATATTTTCACAACATTCTACCAAACGGGCGTCGCGCGCGCATGTCGAAATCTGTCGAACGCCCTTGCGCGCGTGCCGTCGCGAGAATCCCTTGCAAAAAACGGGACGAAGTGCAGACGCGCGCGTCGTCGCGCGCGCACGCCGAAATCCTTCGAAACTCATCGGTTTCGGAAGGATTTCAAAATCGCGCGTCCAAAAAACTTACAAACCACACAAGGGCTCGCAACACGGATTTTCAACAAAAGCATGCGCGCGCGCTTTTGCGGCGTCGTCGTCGTCGTCGTCGCCGTCCTCCCTCCTCCCGCGTCGTCGTCGTCGTCGTCGCCTACGTCGTCCTGTGTCTTTCCTCGTGTTCGTCGTCGTCGTCCTCTTTGGCGTCGTGGTCGTTTCCGTCGTCGTTGTCGCCGTGGTCGTCCTTCCTCCTCCTCCCTCGTCGTCGTCGCTGTCGTCCGTCGTCGGCGTCTCGTCCTCGTCCCTCCTATTTCGTCGCCGTCGTCGTCGTCGTCGTTGTCGTCGTCGTCTCGTCGTCGTCTTCCCTCCTCTTTCGTCGTTGTCGTCGTCGGCGTCGCCGTCCTTCTTCCTTCTTCGTCGTTCGCGTCGTCGCCGTCCTCCCTCCTCCCTCGTCGTCGTTGTCGTCGTTGTCGTCGTTGTCGCCGTCGTCGTCCTCCCTCCTCCCTCGTCGTCGTCTTCGTTGGCGACGTCGTTGTCGTCTTCGTCGTCGTCGTCGGCGTCAGCGTCGTCGTGTCCGTCGTCGTCGACGTCGGCGTCGTCGTCGTTGCCGCCGTCGTCGTCGTCGTCGTCGTCGGCCGTCTTGCTTCTCCGGCCTTCTTGGGGCGCCCTTGAGACGCCCCCGACGGCTCCAAGACGACCCCGGAACGATATCTGTGCTCGGTCCCGCATGGGTTTTGCAAACCAGGTTGCGGGTCAGTGGGTGGGATGATTGCGCGAGCAATGGAGTTGACAACTTCAAGTTCGGCTAGTGAATTGCACCACATAGAATGCGCCGCGTCGGTTGCGCTGCAATGATTGCGCACAGGAAGAACTCCCCCCCACCTGGGCTTGTCACTTTCCCTTTTTTTGTATTTCAATGTACGCATGATTCTGCCCCATCGCCCATCCTAAATATGAGCTCCTACCGCGCCAGCCCAACTGGCACGCGCCCCCCCCCGCCATCCTCTCCAAACAAGTATTGCCTATGCGCGCGTAGTCGCGAAACCAGAAACACCAGAAACCAAGACGCCCTTGCAAAATATTGGACGAAGTGCGCACGCGCGCGTCGTCTCGCGCGCATGCCGAAATCCTTAAAAACGCGCGGTGTTGCAAGGATTTCAAAATTGAGTCTTCAACAAACGTATAGAAACAACGGGTTTCGCAACGCGGGTTTTCAACCAACAACGTGCGCGCGTTTTTGCGAATTCTTAACTTCGCGCGCGCATGTCGAAAGCGTTCGCGCGCTCTTGCGGGCGTGTTGGGGTGGCACGATCCGTGTCAAATAAGACCATGCGGTCCACTCTCACGCGTGTGCCTCGCGCGCATGTCGAACTCTTTCCAAAACCTTCATTGCCGACGCGAAGACGCCGTCATTGTCGTCGGCGTGATCAGCATCCGCGCCGTCGCTGGCCGTGCCGTCGCCTTTGTCATCATCGTCACCACCGTCGCTACTATCATCAGTATGTCTACTCCTGTCGACGTTGCCAAGATACCGCGCCCGCACAAAACACCGATTAGCAGTGAAGTGCCCGCTGGGATGTGCCGAGCGGTCAGCGCCATCGCGTTCGCGTCGATCGCGCCAAACTAGTTGGCCGCTGCGCGCACGAGCATGCGCGGGTCAGTGCGGCCGAAGAAATGCACCAGCAGTCCGCAAGCGCTCATCGCAATCGCTCCCGCATGGGATTTGCAAACCGGGTTGCGGGCGGGTGGGTGGAATGATTGCCCGAGCAGTGGAGCCTACAAGTTAAAGTCTGGCAAAATGAGTTGCACGACTTAGCTTCTCCATTGTAAGAAGGTAACAGACTCTACCCCCCCTGGGATTATCGGTCCCTCTTTGTTCGTAGTGTAATGTACAAATGACTCAGCCCGACTGTCCATCCTCAATAAGAATTCGTACCGCCCCAGCCAAGCCGGTATCCGCTCCCCCGCCATCCTCTGCAACAGATAAGTAATATGCGCGCGCACTCGTTTATCAAACACCATGAGTTTTCAAGATCCAGTTGCGAACTATGGGTCGAAGTGCTCCCGCGGGTGTTTTCGCGCGCGCGTGCTGAAATCCTTCAACAACGTGCAGCGTCGTAAGGATGTCAAAATCGAGTGTCCGACAAACATATGAAACGCATGGTTTCGCATCGCGGATTTTAAACAAAAGACGTGCGCGAGCGCTTCTGCGAATTCTCAGGAAAAAAGGCTTCCCAACGTTCTCATACAATGCTGCCAACCGGATTTCGCGCGCGCATGTCGAAATTGTTCGCTCGCCTCTGCGCGCGTGCTGGGGTGGCACGATCCGTGTCTAATAATTCCATGCGGGCCAAATTCAAACTCCACCACTGATGTGAAGGCGCGGTCATCGTCGTCGGCGTGATCAGCATCGGCGCCGTCACTGGCCGCGTCGACGTTGCCATGATACCGCCCCGCCCCAGCCGACTCGCAGTGAAGTGCCCGCTGGGATGTGCTGAGCGGTCAGCGCCACCGCGCTCGCGTCGGCCGCGCCAAACTAGTTGGCCGTTGCGCGCGCGAGCATGCGCGGGTTCGCGTGGCCGCAAAGATGCACCAGCCAACACCAAACACACATCGCAATCGTTTCCGCATGGGTTTGCGAAACAAGTTGCGGGTGGGTGGGCGGGATGATTGCGCGAGCAGTGGAGTCGCAACTTCAATTCGGGCAAGGTGAATTGCACCACGTATACTGCACCACGTAGATTGCATTACATAGTTCATTCAACAAATATTCCACACCATCTATTGCACAATATAAAGTGCTCAACGCACCGGACAGAATGCACCACGCAAATTGTACCACATGGATTGGTCCACGTTCCACGTAGATTGCTCAACGTACTTTGCTTAAAAACAACGTTTCTCGGTGTCCACATGTGGAAATACACCTACACAAACGATTGTACATTTTTCATAAATACATACGTAGTGATAAGTGATACATATAATACATACATATGCATGTATAAGGACGTTTGTATACGGACCTCCTCCCCTTTTCTTTTCCCCCCCCCCGCCTTGGTCCTCAGAGCCACCCTCGGGGGCCTGGGGCTGTTATCGCGGACGCCCGCTGCGGAGAGCAAGCCCAGCGGATTGGGGGTCGAGAGGACCTCCGGCGCGCATGTCAGGGGCAACGCGGGCGTCGGGGGGCTGCAAGCCCAGGCATGCTAAACACAGGCCCTGAAGAAAGGGTCGGGACTTCCGGGGACCTTTTACTGAGAAAATCAAGCTGCCGCACTGTGGAATCGGCGCGGTGGCCACACCGTGTGGAGAGTCAGTGGGGCCTCGGGGTGGTCGCGCGGTTTTGGGACTCGGGCCGTTCTCCGAAAGCGCCTCGGGTGACCATGGGCCTCCGAGGTCCCATACCGCGCGGTGCGGACAAGCCGTCCCCCTCGATTTTCTCGAGGCGCCGGGCGTCTGGGCCGCCACCGCCTGCCCACCCGAACCCAACGAGGCCGAGCCCGGCCTGCTGCTCCTCGACCCAGCCAAGCCGTCGGTGACGACGCCCGTGTTGATGATGGGCGCGCCTCAGACTGTCGAGGAGGCGCAGGCGCTCAGAGGAGGACAAGGTACCGATACCGCTACCCTTCACTCGCTTTCGCCCTTTCGGGGCCCTCTGGTAGGCCTTCGTCGTCACGGCTGGAGTCGCCTCGAACTTCTGGCCAGGTGCACCCCTGGAGAGGTCTGGGGAGCAGCGGTATCGGCACCTCGTGGTTTTCCCAGGCTCGCGCGGTGGCCAACAGAATGAAAGTGGAGGACGTCGAGTAACAAACAACGGCATGCATCTTGGCGGCGCGCACCAAAAGGTGGTGACGCGAGTGGGGGGCGGCCGTTTGAGAAGGCAGTGTTCTTCTAAGAAGGCAAGGTGCCTTGTACCAAAAATACAGGGAGGCTTCTTAGAAACCCTCCTGGCTTCTCAGGACCTTCCCAGGCCGTTCTAAAGAAGACCCTGTGCTTATCTTCGAAGAAGCCCCCCGCACTCTCATCAGGCTACACCGCTCGCTTCACCTCCCTGTGTGCACTGCAAGCAGAGCACAAACGCTCGGAGGCCGCGCAGACTGCTTTGGTCGTAGCCACGACCCCCCTTGGCGGCGCCTCTGGCGCCGCCCTGGTCGGTCCGAGACACCCAAGCGGACCTCCGAACGTCTGATGGTTCTGCCTTTGTTAGTTCCTTTAGGACATGGAGGCCTTGGTCAAAGCTGTCACCGACGAAGCGAAGGGAATGGATGGGGTGGAGGATGCTGCCGCCCTCAAGGAGGTCCAAAAGAAGGTCGTTGAGGCGGAGGGCAACGTGAGGGAGCTTCAGCAGGGCACGGCGCACGAGATCGGAGAGGTCCGAAAAGGTGGTCCTTTGTGTCAGAGCGTGATCACCGAAATGTCCAAGGTGCTGCCAAGGATCCAGGTGATGACTCAGTCTCTGAAGACCCTAAACCACAAGCTGAAAGCCAAGATCCCCAGGGAAAAGACCGCCGAGGAGCTGAAGAAAGAGGAGACGGACAAAGAGCTTTTTAGCACCGCGGAGCCAGAGGTAAACAAGGCCGTGGAGGAGGCCGGTAGCGCATTGAACGGCATCGCTAGACTAGCCGACGCGATCGAGGCGGAGACAGCTGATGCGGCCGTCGATGCGCTGACCGAGATCGAGTCGGCGTCCCAGGAGGCGCAGGGCAAAATCACCGAGGCGCGCATGACAATCAACACGCACCTGCGTACAGCGAGGTCTTTTGTGGCCGACGTTCAAAAAATCGCTTTGAAGGAGTTCACCGCCAAGCAGCAGGAACTCACAGAGCACCAGAAGGCTCTGAATGTCTTCAAAGAGTATCGGAAGCACTTTAATGCGCAGGTGGCGGCCAGAAAGGCTTTCGTAGCCGTGGAGAAGGAGCTCGAGGGGCTCGAAGCAGAGGTTCAGAAAGCCTCCGAGTTGAAGGCCATCTCTGATGAGGGCGAGAAGTCCGTGGAGGCCGTCAAGGATGCAGAGAAGCTTGTTGGGCCAGTCCTGCAGAAACTCACGGCGCACATGAATGGGGCTGTGGCGAGGTTCAACGTGGTGCCGGTGCTTCGAGAGAGGCTCTCCATTTGCAAGGAGCGATCCCTCAAGGCCCAGGCCTCCTTGCAGGAGTATTTCAAGGTGCTGAGGCCCAAGATCGAGGTCGTCAGCGCCGCGGAAACCCTGAAAAATGCGCACATCAAGGTCGGCAAGGTTGAGGAGGCGGCTGCCAAGTGCGACGAGCTCGAGATGCCGTTCCTCAAGGGGGTGGAAGTCGAGACCGGAGAGGCGGCGACAAAGCTGTTTGCAGACTGCGACGCCGCGTCGATGCATGCGCAGGCGGCGCTCGGGCAGGCGACCGCGTTCCTGAGGAAGGCGCAGGCCGACGCCAAGAGCTACGTGAATACGGAGGTGGCCGAGAAGAACGGCAAGGAGCTCGCGGAGCTGATCGAGACCGTGGAGGCTCTGCAGAAGAAGTGCATGTCCTTCAAGACGGCCACCGCTGAGCGCAAGACGGCGGCGGTCGTGTCGGAGGTGACGGAGCTGGTGAGCACCTGCGAGGAGAAGATGAAGATCTTCGCGGAGGCCTCGCATGAGAACACGTTGTGTAAGCATCAGCTTTCGGAGCTCCGCGCGGATTCCTTGGATCTGTGCTGGGCCCGCCAAATCCGCGGGGGGCTCCGAAAGTTCATGTGCATGTATTTGTTTGGTCCTCTAGAGGCCGCGACGCTGTTTTCCTCAGATTGGACCGCGATCGGCCGGTTTGGGCAGGAGGACCTCGACAACGAGCCGCTGGAGTCGCTGAAGGAGGCGCTGGAGAAGTCGGTTGCCGCCGAGAAGGACCGGCGTCGCGAACAGAAAAATCGCGACGGGAGGTTTTCGGACGATTTTTGGATCCCGGGGCCCTTACTTGGACCTGAGGCCGTCGAAAAGCATCTCGGGATAAAATGCCGGTCACAGGGAAGAGGTTCAAACGTCACGACGTCAGATTTCCGGGCACCACCCGCGAGCCCATCCTTGGCACCTCGCGTCGTCGTCGTCAACGTCAACGTCGACGTCGTCGTCGTCGTCGTCGTCGTCGTCGTCGGCGTCGTCATGGTCGTCGCCGTCGTCGTCGTCATCGTCGTCGTCGTCTCCCCTACGTCCCGCTATTGGACAAGGGAGGGGGAGGGGCGAGGGGGAAGGAGCGGGCTGATGGTGCGCGTGGGGCCTCCCAACCAGAGGAAGCCTCCAGCGTGACCACGGAAACGCGCAAGACGATCCAGGTCAAGGTGGTGCAGGGCCGGGTGACCGACACAGGTGGGGAGCTCGCGAAGCTCAACACAAGGATGACCGAGCTCCAGGCGCAGCTGCAGTCGGTTCGGAAGAACGTGCTGACTGCCGAGAAGCTCATCAAGAGCAAGGACGCGCTCGCGAGCCTGGAGGTGCAGGTGAAGGAGGCGGAGGCCGAGGCCAACAAGGTTGAGGAGATGACGAATCTGGAGCCCGGCGAGGAGCTGACCGATCAAAACATCTTGGATATGGAGGTCGCGTCCGCCAGCGCCTCCAAGCTGCTGAAGGATCGGGGGAACGTGAGACTCGTATTTGCGGGAGCCCGTGTTGGCCGCGTGTCTGCCGCCGCTCCTTGACGGTCTTGGCACTGGCAAAAAAGAGTGTCGGTCCAAATGGTATACTTCGTGTGGGAGCTCGCGAAAATTTTCTGACTAGGTCCTGCCATTCTTCTGGCGGCTTCGTCAATCCAGCTCGGGTCCCCCAAGCTCGAGTCTTCCCTGGTCATCCGACGTCATGTTGTTATCAGTGCGGGGTCTCTGGACGCCCCGACCCTTTCCCAAAGGCTGGTTAATCCTCACTGCTTGCTTGACGGTCCCGGGGCCCTGAGGCCGAACACGTTCAACGATCTCACGGTGCGGCCGCCCTCGTCTTTTCCCCTTTCATGCACGCCGGACAAATCGCATTTCGGTTGGCCCGGTTAGCCACACGCTGGAGCGGACTGCCTCTGCCGTGTCGCCGACGAAAAAGGTTCCTTTCACGACGCCAGGCAGTCTGCGTAGGTCTGCCCGAGAGGACCTGCAGAAGAGGGTGGACACCACCTTGGCCACGGTAGTCCCCGGCATGCGGCCGCAGTTCCTCGAGCTAAAGGAGAAGTGCAAGGGCGCCGAGAAGGTGCCGCCCCGCCCCTCGTCCACGCGCAGTGGGGGGCAGGGGGAGGGGGGAAGGCTTTCTTTTAGAAGCACCCCTGCTTCTTTGAAGGCGCGGGCCTTCTCTGTACATGTTAGGCCGGCGCCTTCTAAGAAGCAGCCCCCTTGCTAAGAAGCCTTCCCTCTCCCCTACCCCCTCTGCGCGACGACCCGCCCCTCCTGGTCCGCACGCTCCTCCTTTTCGCTTTGCTGATCGGGTTGCCCCCCCCCTCTCTCTCCAGACCCGTCTTGAGTCGTGAAAAATATCACGACGGGAAATTTGGGGATGTTGTCGGCTTCTGGCGGCTTCAGTGACGGTCTTGGGGAATCGGTCCAGAGTTCTGGCGGTCCACGTTGTGAATCAATCACGTCGGGGGTCTGGGCATCCGCCTCCTCACCTGGCCAATCGGGTCGTTCCCCCCACCGATGTCTCGTTGTAAAGGCCGCGACATTTCGGCTGTCCAGTTTTGATTCGTGTAGGTTTGACCTGGAAACGGTTTTTGCGTCACTCCGTAGGCCCAAGTTGTTCATTCGTGCGGTGGGCGGATCGCGTGGTTTGGTGGTTTGTCCTGGCGTTGCGCCCGACGGATGTTGGAAGGGGCGACAAGCAGGGCGGAAGGGAAGGAGTGATGAGGAGGGGGAAGGAGGGAAGAAGGACATATGAGGAGGGGGTGGGAAGAGGGAGGAGCGAGGGATGGGCAGGAGGGATGGGAAGGAGGGAGGAGGGAGGCAGGTAACGCCCGTTACAGGATCTGGCGAGTGTCGTCGCGTACGCGGTACTACCTCTCTAGAACATCTCCGAAACAGATCCGAAACATTTCCGGGTGGACGAACTCATATACATACAAAGTGCGAAATATCTACGAAGCATCTCCTTTGGGGGCGAATGCATCCACAGATCGTCTACAACACATCGACGGAGCATGTCTGGGGCCAGAACATGTACACTACATCTACGAGAGATCCAAGAAAACACGCCCGGGGGGCGGGAACACCCACCAACAATTTGGAAACATTTGCGGAGCATCTCCGACGCGCTCCGCGGAGTCGTCGACCGAAACCACGATCGCGCGAGCCCGTTTCCGTTCTCGGAGCGAACTTTCGCCTGATATGTTGTAAAGTATCGGTTCCGTTCGCGGGCCGAACCTCGCCCGAAAAACATTTACAAACACCTCCGGCGCATTCCGAAACATCTCCCAGGGGCGAATCACATTGACGGGACATTTGCGAAACCTCTGCGGGCAGCGAAAGCATCTACATGCATCCACGGAACATCTACGAAGGGGGTTGGAAACATGTACATTCATGCCTACAGAACATCTACGACACATCTCCGAGGGGTGCGAACACATCTACAGAGCATCTAGGACACATCTACAAAATATCTTCGACCCATTTCCTGGGGTAGCCTACGTTGTATGGGCTCGTTGCCGCGGCTGGATTTGGAGGTCGACGTCCGCGGTCCGTTTTTGACAGCGCTGAGGTGGTGGTGGTGGTGGTGGTTCGGCACGTTGGCGTCGCGGGCATCGTAGCGGTGGCCGCTGCTTTGGGCGATTCTCCCGAAGGGAGCCAACGGCCGCGTTCAAAGCAAACCGCAACTCATAACTGGTGTCATGCTGGGCAGAGTGCCTTGTAGTGCGCTTGGGCGTCAGGCAGAGCCGCAGCGGGCTGTTTCGGAAGTGGTCCTTTCGACTATTCCTTGGACAGGCTCCCCCATGCCACAAGTCGCGGCCTTTTCATCTCTCGTTCGATCGCCAAGGCCGCTCGTCGTCTCCAAGGCCGCTCGGCGTCTCCAAGGCCGCTCGGCGCTAGGGGCGGCGCTGGCGCGGCCAGGGGGGCCCAGGCGCCGATCCAAGAACGCCGCGCAGACCTCCGAAAATGTATATTTGCACCATGTGCTGCTCCTCTATCGCTCGCCCGTTCGATCCCCAAATCCGTTCAGCAGGCCGTTGACCTCCCTTCCAGAGGCAACACTGTCAGGCATCGCCGCCTGTTGAGCCCCATAGCATGGTCTGTGCAACTGTATGGGGGGTGGTAGGTAGCAGCAGGGAGTAGGTAGCGGTAGCAATAGCGGAGAGCATGGGAAGCATGTTGCATTGCATTGCGGCCCTTTCGGCCCCGAGCGCAGCGAAAGGGACCGATCTCCTCTCCTCTTCCTCCGCGCGCGCGCCGCCGCGACACGGCAGCGGAGCGTGGATGCTAAGAACGGCCCGCCAGGCCGTCTCCAGAGTGGACCTTGAGCGCGCCCCCCGTGCGGGGACAGCACCACCTCGACCCAGGCCGCCGCTTGGGCCACCACCTCGGCGGACCGTCCGCCCTTCCCGCTCCCAGCCGCCCGGGGAGCACCCAGCCGCTGGCACAGGGCCGGCCGTCCGGAGGGCACGGGAGCCTTTGTTTGCAGCGATTCGCACTTCGACTGGCACGGGGCCAGGGCAAGCCGGCCAACAAGCGAGTGAGGAGCAAGGAAGCTCACGGACTGCGGACGAGCCGGCGGGAACTCAGACTTCGGCTCAAGCATGAGGGCCCTGCACTCAGACAGGGCCTGTGCAACGAGCTGGGCGCCAGGCGGAGAGAGTCTTTAGGTCTGACCTTGGACGCGCTCCCTGCGGCGACAGACCGCCACGAACACTTGGAGGCACGCTGGGGGCCCTTTCAGGCGGAGGGTCGCAGGCGAGGCGCCGAAGCTTGTCACCGACAGGTCGGGGCAGACTCGCGAAGTTGATCCCTGGCCCGGCCGTCAGTGGAAGCTACGCGCCAGTGGGCGCGAGCGGTTCGACAACAGCCACTGTCGCGTCATCCAGCTGCTGCAGTCGGACGGGGACGAACTGCTCGAGAGGGTCCAGCCGTTTTTGGACAGGCGCATGGAACTCCAGGCCCGACTGGACGCTGGAGAAGCCACTGGCCGCGAACAGCGCGAGCTCAGCCGGGTGCTCGAGGAGCTAGACGTGCACGCCACCGCGCGTGCTAAGCCAGCGGACAGCAAGGCTTGGCACGAGCAGCGCCTCCAGGAAACCGACGAGGCGCCGCCAGGCCACTCGCAGCGCGGCGGCGCTGCGAACTCAGTGGCTGCTTCAAGCCAGGCCGTCCGTCGCGCCCCAGCGGCAGCGCGAGGCGGCGGACCGAGGGCAGCCAGGATTTCCCGAGCGCCCGAGTGCCAGAGCGGCTGACACAAGCCGTCGTGCACCGTCAGCGGCTCCACAGGAGCCGCGACCTTCGGTGGCGCCAGAGCGCGCTGCGCGGCGCCGTTCCCGCTCGAGGAGCAGGCCGTTGCGTGGGGGACCACGGGAGTGGCAAGACGCGGCTCCATGGCGACTGTCGAAGAGCAGATCAGAGCTACGTCAGCAAGACCAGCAGATACGGCAGCTTGCTCATCGGCAAACCAGAGCTGTCTTATGGTGAGCGAGCTAAATGGGGCGACTGGGCTTTTCACCTTCGGACTTACTTAGCAGCGATAGATACAAAGTATCCGGCGTTGCTGGGCGAAGCGGAAGTTTCGGAGGTGGTGATCAGGAACGTAGATTTTTACTTGCCGTTGAAACCGTCACGAAGTTCGCAGCTTTACTACTTGATGGTAATGTTGTTTCTGTCAGCAGCCCAGGACAACATGTCCTTTGTGTATCCAAGAGAAGGGCTGGAGGAATGGCTGCAGTCCCTCTCCTGAAGTCCCTCTCCTGAAGACACTGCCCCTCTCCTGAAGAGGCTCTGTCTTGAGGAGAGGGACTGGAGTTATGGCGACAGGAGGGGCCCCAAGATCTGCACTAGGCGGGTCGGGTTGCTCATCGAGATACTCACTGCGAAGTTCAGCGGGGACATCCTTTAGTGCCTAGATCAGTTTGAGCATCTGTTCCGTGAGTATGAACAGCAGTCGATGAAGGTCTCCGGCGAAGATCTCAGGATCGGCTGAGTAGTGGCCAATATGCAGGACACCGGCGTCTATCAACACCTTGTGAAGAACGCGAGCAGGTTGGAAACTTGGAAGGCCATGAAGGAGGAGCTGCTCGACATGGCGCGAACCGCACAGTGCCTTGACGCCCCGCCCAAACCTATGCAGCTAGGCGCCATGCCGCAAAAGGGGAAACGGCAAGAAGTGGGGAGGTAAGGGCAAAGGTGAAAGAAATGGAACGACGGGGGAAGGAAAAGGAGCTGATCCATGGGAAGGCTACCAAAGAGGCCCCAAGGCCAAGGCGAAGGTCGAAGCCAACAAGGAAAAGAAGTGCTTCTCCTGCCGCAAGAAGGGGCACGTCGCCGCGTTTCGCAGGAAGAAGGCGAAGGACAACCAGGCTAGGCTGGCAGCGGCCCCTGAGGCCGCGCTGCAGGGCGGTGCAGGACCCCCACCTACGGTGCAACCGGCGGGCAGTCTCATGAAATCGGGCAGGAGGATGTGCAGCATGGGTTTCTGATGCCATTATGCTCACCGTGCGACTCTGGCGAAATGCTGGCCCCCATGCCCCAGAGGGTCATGGTCGACACGGGCGCTGGCAGGTCGGTGTGTCTTGTTGGTTTTGTCGAGCAGTGGCGAAGCGTCCTGGCTCGCCTATATCCTTACCAAAGAGTGTGCTAAGAACTTGTTGTGGCTTCCACGAAATGTTAGTAGGACATTTCTGGCGGAGTCTGTCTTGTTTGAACACATCGGGCTTAGGTTATATAAACATTGTTCTTGGTTGTAGAATATATTTGGGTTATCAGAACATTTCGTGGTAGGACTATAGGAATGCCGGGACGGTCGTTCCCCGTTGAACGTTGACCCCCAGGCAAAGCCAGACATCTCTGTCAAACCAACCACGCTGACGACGGCGACGGGGGAAGAAGTGGACCTTTCGGACGGGGAGAGGTCTCATTTCCAGGCACGAGTCGGCAGTGGCGTTGTCTTGCGGTACAGCGACAGCGACAAGGTCACGGTTCCTGTCGTCTCGGCGTCAGAGTCGACCGAGCAAGGCAATTAAATTGGTTGGCATTCGGCCCGGGGGCACAGCGTATCACATGGCC